TTAATGATATTGTTTGACAATTTCCACATTCTGTTGGATCACCTTTTTTTGGAATGGGTAAAAATAAGGATCTCTTCCAGTCAATTGGCCAGATAGCTGTCCTCCAATTTTCTTGACATAGATGAGTAAGTGCCTCCAGTGTGGCATCCGTTTGTTGAAACATCTCAATGGGTATTCCGTCAATTCCTGGAGCTTTGTTTTTCACCAGTTCCTTCAGTGTAGCTTTGACTTCTTTCTTCAGTACCATTGGTTCTTGATCATATGCCATCTCCTGAAATAGGTACATGTACAATTCCTTTTGGTACAGTAACTCTTCTTTTGATATTTCCTGCAGCATTCAATATTTTGTCCACAGAATCTTTCAGTATTGCAACTCAAGGGTTGAATTTTTTCTTCAGTTCTTTCAGTTAGAGAAATACATGTGCTTCCATTTTGGATTTGTAACTCCAGGTCTTTGCACATTTCACGATAATAATTGACTTTATCTTCTCTAGCTGCTCTTTGAAATCTGTTCATCTCTTTTATTTTGTTATTTCTTCCATTTGCTTTAGCTACTCTCCATTCAAGAGCAAGTTTCAGAGTCTCTTCTGACATTCATTTTGGCCTTTTCTTCCTTTCCTGTCTTTTTAATGACCTTTTGCTTCCTTCATGGATGATGTTCTTGATATCATCCCACAATTTGTCTGGTTTTCAGTCATTGGTGTTCATTATGTCAAATCTATTCTTCAGATGACCTGTAAATTCAGAGGGGGTATAATCAAGGTCATAGTTTGGCTCCATCCACATTATTAAGGTCAACTCTACTTTGAGGACACATCTCTTCCCCAGTCATATTTTGAGTGCCTTCGGACCTGAGTGTTTCATCTTTTGCCCCTATATCACACATTTCAGGCCTCTTCATATATTTTTCCAGTAATATATCAGACAATGTTTCACTGCTGTTCAGAAGGTTTGCACTGGCCAATTCTTTGAGAAGTGGATGGTCCTTCATTCTTCCAAGTCTGTCTTAGTCTGGAAGCTCTGCTGAAACCTGTCCACCATGGGTGACCCTGCTGGTATTTGAAATACAGGTGGCATAGCCTCCAGCCTCACAGCAACACTCAAGCCATCACAGTATAACAAACTGACAGATGAGTGGTGGAGAGTTTAATGTATAGAACATTAAATTCCTTTTCTGTGGTTTTGGAGAGAAACATTTTTTTAATAACCGGACTTAATTTTCAACTGATTAAAAATTTTAGGTTAGAAAGGGACCTTAGAAGTTATCTAGTTCAGAGATCAGCAAGATGTTTCTGTAAAAGGGCAGGACAGTAAATATTTCAACTTTCTAAGCCATATGTTCTCTGTTATAACTTTTCAACTCTGCTGTTTTACTTCAAAGGCAGCCATAGATAACGTATAAATGACTGAATGTAACTATGTTCCAATAAAACTTTATTTACAAAAACAGGTGGCAGACTAGATTAATCCTCTGGGCCAGAGTGTGCTGACTCCTGATCTAGTTCATTTCATTAATTTATCTGTGAGGAAACAAAGGCCTAAAGAAATAAAGTGACTGGCCCCTTCACCAAACTACAAAATATCAGGGCATAGTTTAGTACTCAAGTCTGAATCATAGGCAAATGTCTGCACCTCTAAGCCATGTAGCACTGTAAGGCTGCGCTATGTGTTTTTTCTGCTTTAGGTCAATTTACACACGAAAATTTTATTCCTTCAACTACCACTGCTTCAAACACAGAGGGAGGCCCAGGATTTCCAGGATGTCCTTTGTGCTTTTCTAGTCACCTAGTTACAAAAATACCTCATTTCAGATGATCTTTAAGAGGCTTATATGCTTAAAGGGGCCCTGGTGATACAGAGGTTAAACACTTGGCTGGTAACCAGAAGGTTGGCAATTCAAACCCACTAGCTGCTCCACAGGAAAAAGATGTGGCAGTCTGCTTCCGTAAAGATTACAGTCTTGGAAACCCTATGGACAGTTCTGCTCTGTCTTGCAGGGTCGCTAAGAGTTGGAATGGACTTGACAGCAATGGGCCACTCCTCGGAAGGAAGGTTGGGCATCTACTTCTGTAGTGATAGTGCCTGGGAAACCCAAGCAGGGGTCACTATGAGTCGGATATGACTCAACAGCAGTGATTTTTTTTTTTTAATTTTTTTTTTATGAGAGTAAAGGAAATACACACCAAGAAGTTTGAGTTTTTTCATTGTCAGTGTTTTGGTGGCCTCTATCATGATATTATTTCAAGGAGGCCAAGGTTGAAAATTTGATTCTGGAACTGGCACAAAGAAAAACTATTCCAAGGCCACATATAGCTCACACCCAACGGAACATTTTCCTGATGTTTTCTGTGGTCACACTGGGCTCCAGGAGAAAATGTAGAAGATCCACAGAAATACACTCCTGAGGAAGGAAAGAGACTCAGAGTTAACACTCTGGACAGGATAAGCTATTCATTTTTATCCTTGGGGTATATGCTTTTTTTCCCCATTGTTGACTTTAGAAAAAAAACTGTGAAAGAAGTTTTTCTGCATCTTTCAGATATCATGCTGCAAGATAATCAACAAACTAGTGAAATATTTTTTATACCCTTTGGCAGTATCATTAATAAATTTATGTTGAATTTATCTAGGTCATCTTTGTTATGCCTAATATACAAAACTATTTATTATTTTACTGCTTATCAACTTATCATTTTAACTTGTGATTTAACCATTCTTGTTATGACATACTTCGTGTTTTCTCCCTGAATGTTATGGGGCAAAATGCCCACATTTTTCCACTGCATAATAGAGTACTACTGCCTTGTGAGAAACTGATGAAGTTGAGGCCTAGACTTAAGAGATTCTTGGGCAAGGCATTTGAAAGTTGTAAATAGTTTTTAGTGTTCCAAATCAGAAACCTATTCTACCTTCTTGTAAATAGTTTTTGATAGGTACTATAAATTTTGTCCCCTAAAAACATAGACTATAACTCCTCACACTTATATATGTAGTGGTAATCTCATTTGGGAATTGTTGTTATTGTTAAGAAGCCATATCAGTGTAGGGTGTGCTTTAAGCCAATTACCTTTGAGATATAGAAACAGCAGATTGGTGTGTGTGTTATGTGCCATCGAGTTGGACCCAACTCATAGCGACCCCTCCTTGGGTTTCCGAGGCAGTGTCACTACGGAAATAGATTGCCCAACCTTCCTTCTGAAGAGTGGCTGGTGGGTTTGAACCGCCAGGCTTCTGGTTAGCAGTCAAGTGCCACAGGCACTATGCTACCAGAGCTCCTTAGGACAGAGAAATAAGCAGAGATGGAGGAAGATGCAAGCCACATGGTTGCCAAGGAATTTAGGAATAAGGGCTGAAATAAAGACCTTCCCCTAGAGCTGCCCTGGAGAAAGTGTCTTCCCTTGCTATGTGTTGTTATGTGCTGTCGAGTCGGACCCAACTCTTAGCGACCCCTCCTTGGATTTCCGAGGCAGTATCACTACGGAAGTAGATTGCCCAACCTTCCTTCCGAGGAGTGACTGGTGGGTTTGAACTGCCAGCCTTCTGGTTAGCAGTCAAGTGCCTTAGGGACTACGCTACCAGAGTCTTCCCTTAGACATAGTAAAGTGAATTCAGACTGCTAGCCTCCTAAACTGTGAGAAAATAAATTTGTTTGTTAAAGCCATCCAAATATGGTATTGCTATTATACCAGCACTAGATAACTAAGACAGAGGGATTCTTGGATTTCGAAAGAACAGAGATTCTCGCATCATTTATGTGTGTGCATATCTGTATGTGTGTGTGTGGGGGGGGTAGGAAGAGGAGTTACTGTGAGTATATGCATTGTCTGAAGCTACACTTGGACATGTCAGATCTGAGGCAGTGCTAGTTTCTCTTTCATGGTTTCATGGTTTTCTTGGTCTTTACTTTATACTTGCTGCTGTCTTATCCTCCTGTTACTAATTAGTTTCCTCTGAATTCTCTCTTCCAAATTAAATAAGAGTTTTATTGCCTTTGTTAATTAGTATTGACCTCATTGATAGAAGCTTTCCTTCTAGAATGACTAATGGGTCACCAGGAAGCCTTTGAATGAGCCATTCCAGGACAGATGCCCACCTTAGTTCTTATTGGTTATTGGTGGCCCCTCTGCCTGAAGAACAGCCTGGTGCTATTCCCCTAAACAGGGTAGTGATGTCTAGGAGAAAGACACTAGACAAAGAGTTAAATAACTTCTTAAACTTTGTTATATTTCTTTCTTTATTTTTAATATAGAAGAAATTCACAATCTTGTTGAAGTTTTTTTTAAATATGTAAATCTTAAAGAAAATAAAAACCATAATAGTATCACCCACATATCACAGCTGTTAATAATTTGCTGATTATTTCCCAATCTTTTATCTATAGCTCCATATAGCTGATAAAAATAATGAATATCATATAATTTTACCTATTTCTTGTTTAACATTAGAGCATAATTTTCTGTCATGTGTGTAAATATTCTTCCAGAGTCATTGTAATTAACTGTAATATAGACATTTTGGTATAGCTATACTGCCTTTACTTAACCCGTGTTGGACATTTAGATTGTTTCATCTTTGCTCATTAAAAGCTATTGGAATTTCAGATGACTTCATTAAGGCAAATTCCTTAAGGGTCAGAGACAATGAGATTTTTTTTAAAACTCTTTTAATTGCTTTTCTAGAAGTTTGTTTTGATTTTCACTTTTCCCAGCAGTGTATGGGAGACTCAGCCTGGCCATACTTTGACAGCGTTGAATGACAACATTTTTAAATGAGTCTTACTATGTTTAAAAAAAAAAAAAAATGATGCTTTCTTGTTATTTTATTTATGTCTAATGATTTAGTATGTTGATTATTTTTGTTGTTATTGTTAAGGAGCCATATCAGTGTATTACACTGCTGTTATAAAGTAGTTGAGTGCCTACCCATGTCTGCAGAAACACTTGCCTTTCAATTTTCGTTATTTTAGATGCTAATCCCGTGAATGTCTGTGTCTCCTCTAGCCCTCATACACGGAATTTGACATCAGTGGCAATGTCCTCGCTTTGATCTTCAACCAAGGCATGATCTGGTAGGCCAGCAATGGGGCAGTTGATCGCTATGGATAAGTGTCCAAAGTCACTTATTGCAGAAAGCACAGCAGTCTGGTGTCAGAGGAGACTGCAATCTGTGTCTAACTTATACGCCTCTACTCTGGTGATGAGTAGTTTATTTCCTCCCCTATATCTTAAACTTAGGAAGCCCTGGTAGTATAGTGGTTACTACTAGGCTATTAACCCCAAAGTTTGGCAGTTTGAACCCACCAGCCACTCTGCAGGAGAAAGATATGGTAATCTGCTTCCATAAAGATGTACAGCCTTGGAAACTCTATGGGGCAGTTCTACTCTGTTTAGATTGTTTCATCTTTGCTCATTAAAAGCTATTAGAATTTCAGATGACTTCATTAAGGTAAATTCCTAGAATTAGACTTAAAGGGTCAAAGACAATGAGATTTTTTTTTTAACTCTTTTAATTGCTTTTCTAGAAGTTTGTTTGGATTTTCTATGAGTTAGAATCAACTTAGAGTTTTACTATGAGTTAGAATCAACTTGACCTCAAAGGCAGATATGCCCGTTTCACAAAGAACTTTTTTGTCAAATATAGGAGTCTATTTTCTGTCTGATAGATTTCTCTGGGAGGTGCAAGCAATTACTATGCTGTGGTGCTTACTGAATGCCTGCTAAATGGGAGGTTTAAGCCTACCTAGAGGAGCCTTAGAAGAAAGGCCTGGTGATCTACTTCTGAAAAACCAGCCATTGAAAACCCTGTGGTGCACAGTTCTACTCTGACGCACACAGAGTCACCATGAGTCAAATCAGCTCAAGGACAACTGGTTTACTGATCGATTTCTTTGAAGCTGTTCATATTTCCATAACAAGTCACACTAGGATCTAAGGGTAAAATATCTATCAGTCATCATGTTACCATGTGTTAAGTATGAAATAAATTAAGAGCTTTCTGAGAAACTGATTTTATTGTGTCTTCACTATAGAGTAAGTTTAAAATACAAGTTATATGTACTTTAAAAAATAATGTCTTACCAAATCCAGTTATTTAGAAATGAAACACGTTTTAGGAAGGTCAAGTTGAAAATACGATCTTTCCTTTGTAACTCACTTCATAGAGTCATTTGCACATCAAAGTTATTTCTTTTGATGTGGGAAGGATTGTCATATCCTTTGTGGAATGAGAGGATTCTCACTATAGACCCTGACAGGTTAAGAAGAGTTGATACAGTAGAGACAGTTTTTGAGTTTAAAAATTGAATCACAGCGTGTGATTCCTCTGTGGACCATGTGTTGTGGAAATCTGTCACTCTTAACTAAGAGTTACCCAACCCTGGAGCAGTGACAATTGAGCTGCTTTATCCTGTTGACACATGCTTGATATCAGCCGTAAGATGGCTTTATGAACAAGTACCAATAACTAACCTCAATTTTTTAACAAGATTCATATATTACTCAAATACTTCTATCATAGCTGGCTTAAATTATTAAACATGTATGTGCTGACTGGACCTCTCTGCAAATGTTAAAATTGTCTTGCTTCAGTCATGTAAAAACCACTCTCAAGGGCCCTATCATCCTGCCATGAGGCCTGTTAAATTCCTGTGTCTTACTAGGTGAATCAGTGTGAAGAAAAGACTACACAAAAACTATTTTCTGCATTACTAGGTATATCTAAAAATGTCATTCCTGTCCCCTCACTTTCTAAATTTTTTAAGTTATGGGTTATGTGTCCAGAGAAGCACTAAGGAGTGAAAGACATCTTTTATTCTCCAGGCAGGGAGGAAAATCAAGGTGGCCCAAAGTGTGACTACTGACAGAGATAGCAAAGGGAACAGCTTCAGTGGGTTCTGGAAGTTTCCTTTCCTGAAAGGAATTCTGCTGTCATGGCAGAAAATGGCTAGCACTGCTATTGGAGTAATGAGAACCCACTGCCTTATATTTCAGTCTTAACACTCTCTGGCTCTTACGCAAAGTGACATAAATCCCTCAGGCCCAGTGGGTGCCATTTGTGCAGACATCTGCTGTCTGTCTATTGTGTTCTTTCAGAGTTAAGACAACAGATCAGCCTAGAAATCCATTTTTATTGTCAGAAAAGCCATTGTGATGGCTATCCTGGTTGGTTTTACTTGTAATTTTGAAACTACTTAGTCCACTATTGTTCATATCATAATTCTTGAAATGTAAAATTCTTATTCAGTTCTCTCATAGGCAAACCTGTTATCACAATCTCTCACCCATTGTTCCATCAGGATTGTTCCATCACTTTCTGTGTATTTATTCTTCAGACAATGGTCAAGTCTTGCTTCTTGTTAGATTGAAGAGAACTTTAGAAAGTGATTGGGTTTTTTGAGTGTACACACATATTCACACACTTTCTAATTTTCAGAAACAAAAACACGATAGTAATATAAACAAAATCCTATTATTCACCTCAGGTCAACTGTCTGTACAAATGCTTTTTTTCCTAATTCCCAGGAGGTTGGTGAGGGAGTGAGGGACAGTAAAGAAGGTGTGGGAATTGTATATAATGTAATTTTAGAAGGCTCACCCTGCCAAAGGGTACTCACATAAGGCAATTTCACTAATTTATGAGATATGAAGATCCGATGGCCAAGCGTGGCCATTTTCTACAGAAATAATCAAAAGGAAATGAAGAATTTGTGTAATTTCAATTGGTCTGTCACTTACTCTTTTGGAGTTACTGAGTAATGAAGACGTTCTTTACAATGATGTTATTGAAGGCAAACCTTTTTTGTAAAATCCATTTTGTTATGATAATTTGGCTGAAATTGTCAGGATGTCCTTATATTACACACTAATTTGAAAAATAAGACACCATGGGCCTTTGTAATAATATTTTTCAAGGATGAAATGTCCACAGAGCACACATAGTGAGAGACAAGATGAGTTTTGGCCATCACTCCAAACACTGCCTCATTATGTATTCTGCACCCAGTCCTTTAACCTTTTATCTCTTCATTTTCTCAGTTGATAAAATGTGGTTTGTTTACTTGCCATGAACCATGTCACTGGAGTAGTAAGGAGAATTAAATAAAAGAAATCTTCATTTGCTTTGATCTTCTTAGAAGAAAAGCATTTTATAAGATGCAGGTTTTACAGAGATCTTAACTGACAGATGAGGGGATCAAGACTGGATAAGGGAATTAGTGAGCTGAGCTGATTAGTAAGTCACCAACACAGCTAGGATGAGCATGATGGCTCAGATATCACTGCGTCAGGGTCTATTTTCCTAAGTATGGTTCTTGAGCCATTTGTTCAAAATGTCTAAGGGACATTAATTTTGAAATTTATTTATCTGTAGATACATGTGCCTATAATGTATATAAACATATATAGGCACACATACAAACAATAATTACAAATACATGTGGTTTTAGGCAAGTCCAGCTTCAATAATTACAAATACATGTGGTTTTAGGCAAGTCCAGCTTTTGAATAAGGAGCTCTGGTGATGCTGTGGTTAAAGCATTAGGCTGTAAACTAAAAGGTCGGTGGTCCACACCCACAAGCTGCTTCATGCAAGAAAGATAAGGCAGTCTGCTTTCAAAAAGATTTACGGCCTGGGAAATCTTATGTAGCAAATCTACTCTGCCTTATAGGGTCACTATGAGTAGGAATAGGGAGCTCTGGTAGCATAGTGGCTAAGGCACTTGACTGCTAACCAGAAGGCTGGCGGTTCAAACCCACCAGCCACTCCTCGGAAGGAAGGTTGGGCAATCCTACTTCCGTAGTGATACTGCCTCGGAAACCCAAGGAGGGGTCGCTATGAGTCAGGGCTGACTCGACGGCACATAACAACAACAACAAATGAGTAGGAATTGAGTCAATCACAGTGTTGTTTTTTTTTTTTATTGTTGTTTTTGTTATTGTTTAGGATTTGAATTATGTGTACAATTATGTCTTAAGGTAGAATAGACCATGCTGCAATTAAATAACCCCCAAAATATTAGTGGCTTATGTGAGTTGGTAAGGAGCTCTGCTCTTCTAAATATCCTCACTTTGGAGTCTCAGACTGAAAGAATAGAGCCCATCTGGAACACTGCTGATCACAGAAATAGGGAGAAGAGAATGAAAAAATGTGTGAGACCCTTATAGTTTCTACCTAGTAATGAGACACCTCATCAATATTCATATTTTATTGGCCAAAACAACTCATATGTCCAAACCTGACTTTTAGAAGAGAGGAGGAATATCATCACCCTATAAGTGTATTATATCACAACTATAGTATCTGGTACCAATAGGTTGTGCTTTGTGATTCTGACCCTTTAGCTGGGACTATCACTTACTTTTTGGAGTTTCCAATTCTCTATTATCCTATAAGAAAGAGACACTGTGTTATTCCAAAGCCTAGTTTCCCAGTTTTTTTTTTTTTTTTTAATAGTGTGACTTTCTACAATGTCCATTCAGTATAGGAAAGATATCGTTCAGATCTATCATCTGGAGTCTTGTCAACAAACCAACCCACAATGAGGCAAAATTCCACTTTTCAATGGAATGAGTCAACTTCAGGTTGGCATAAGTTCAGCTATAGCAGAAAATAATTTCGTCATCTAATTCAACCATCCCCCCTCCTATAATGTACTAAACTTGCACTGGATGGATTTAAACAACTACATATTCAGGAAGTATAAAATGTTAAGCATAACTAGGAATATTGAGGGCGTTATTATAATTGGGGCAGTTTAAATGATAAGACTCTATTTATACTTTTAAAAAGTGCACATGTATCCTCTTTTTAGTTTTGGACTAATAAATTGCTATTTATTTTTGTTTTATGGAGCTAAAAGACTTTCTCATCAAAGAAAATTTAAATTTATTTTGTTGAAATAGTCAGTTAAGCCATGAGTAAAAGTGACTTCTCCTAACTGGTTCCTGGTTTAAAGTGATACTTTAAATCAGTTTTTAAAATGTCAAGTGCACAAAGCAGGGGATTCCTAGGACAATCTAAATTAAGAAACTAAACAGATAAACATAACTAAGTGGATACATAGCATTTTCATCTCAAAACACATTAAAAAAAAAAAAAAAACTGACATCAAGTCAATTCTGATTTATAGCAATGCTATAGGACAGAGTAGAACTGGCCCATAGGGTTTCCAAGGCTGTAAATCTTTATGGAAGCAGACTGTCTCATCTTTCTCCCATGGAGTGGGTTATCAACAAAACATATTGTCATATAGGACACAAATGCATCATTCTAAACAGCTTTAAAACACCATGTTGTTGTTGTTGTTATGTGCTGTCGAGTCAAACCCGACTCATAGCAACCCCTCCTTGGGTTTCCGAGGCAGTATCACTACGGGAAGTAGGATTGCTCAACCTTCCTTCCGAGGAGTAGCTGGTGGGTTTGAACTGCCAGCCTTCTGGTTAGCAGGGAAGTGTCTTAGCCACTATGCTACCAGAACACCATAGCAGCTACAAATAAAAAATGGTCAGCATCAGAAGAAAATGTATTTAGCTTTTTCTTTTTATTAAGCAAAACTTAATTAGCCTTGATGCAAATAATTGTCCTAAATGTATAGTTTATTTGAATAGAATGAACAATGTTAATGATCAGTTACTTAAGAAGTTAAATTTTTAGAGATATTATTGAGTGATAGGAGTATTAGAGGGAATTTAGTTTATCTCAGAATTAAAAAAAAATTAAATCAATGATAGAAATGTAATATACTATTTAATTCTTTTATAGTTTAAATTTATTAACGATTGCAGATATATTTAGTGAACTGCATAATTTCCATGAAACTTACAGAAGAGCATAACACAATACCTACAATAATGAAATAACAGTAACAAGTTTACAGAAGACAGAAATAGATAGACCAAGTTTATTTATCAACTTTGTGTGGATGAAAGTGGCAATGTATTTTCTGCCTTCAGAAAATAATCAGGATATAAAACAAGCAGGTGTGTGACTTTGTTATGATGTAAAGACTCAAAATTGAGCAGAGTTCTGTTTTTCTTTCTAGGATGGGCTCCTTCTATGCTCCCTGCCTCCCAGGCATCAACATTCTTCGACTCCACACATCCATGTACTTCCAGTGCTGGGCTGTGATGTGTTGCAATGTTCCTGAAGCCAGGGTCTTCAAAGCTTCCAGATCAAATAATTTTTACCTGGGCATGCTATTGCTCATCCTCTTCCTGTCCACCATGCCTGTCCTGTACATGATTGTATCCCTGCCACCATCTTTTGATTGTGGCCCATTCAGGTATCTCACCTTAAAAATTACATTTGGGTATATTTTTCTTTCAGGAGTAGAGGTGGAAATGGTCACTCATTGTATAAGTTAAATTTTGGTTTCAAACAGTAGCATTTCCATTCTGTAGAAATGAGAGTCTTTAGGTATTCAGGTTCACTGTGTGACGTGGAGATAAAGTTGTTTGGCAAGTTCCATTTATTTTCTCTTGTGGGAGTCATAAAAGAGAAAATAATTTCATTGCTCCAGTCTCTGCCTGGGTAAAATGTGGATGGTGAATCTGAGCAATTTCCATGCTAGGAGATAACTAAGAGCAAGGTAGATTACATGGGTCTGGATGTGAAAGTTTTCCCAATGCTAGGATACTGCATCCAGATACAATGACCTATTACTCCTTTTCACATGGACCACCACGTTGAAAAAATAATAGATTGCCCCACAAGCTACCTTGCCAATGGAATGATTATTATATTATAATGAATCTGAAGAGGGCCACACAATTTATAAGGTAAAATGCTGCATGCTAAAAAGGAAAATTCAGGATGCTTCCCATGTATCATCTCTTCAAATATCAGGGATACATCACTCAAGTTAATAATGAAGAGTTAAGAAGGCTCTCTGATCCAAGCTGAAGAGGAAGTTTTCTAGTTCTCTATGATTGACTTCTTTCTATGAAATGCATCAAGAAAGCAAACTCAATTGTGATCTGGAGTGTTGGGATTGCATTCCCTAAAGGGCTTTGGAAATTGATCTACCATAGTCCCCTAACAATCTCTGCGTGTTGAGTTCCTAGTCATCATGCATTTAAGTTAATTCTCCTTTTCAGGGAGCAAATGTGAACATGAAAAGCAATGTGAATGGCACACGTGGTGTAATAATGGCCGCATATAATTTCCCTTTCATGCTGTCAGACCCACATTACTAAAGTCAAAATGTCCCTTACCTACAGAGTAAGGATAAAAGAGGCATTTCATTCTAATAGTAATTTGAGTTATTATTACTTTATCAAAAAAAAAAAAAAAAAGACATGTTAAGGCAGCTGACAGGGCAAAACCAGCTGAAATTCTGTCCTATTCAGGAGGCTGGTGTTAAAGTCCTGTAAGTTTCTTTCTCTTTTTCCTCTTTTTCTCTCCCGCAACTGGGCGGAAATAAATAATGCAGACAGTGACATCTGGAGGCTAAATATGAAATTGCATTTTGAAGGAAATCTTGGTTTTTGGCACACAACAACAACAACAAATCCTTAATGGATCTTAGGTACAAAGAGCAAGCCATGAAAATACTCCAGCTAATTTTAAATTACCAGAACAACTTAATGTCCAGGATAAGTTTTACATGTGCTTTTTGTGTTTTAATTGGAAATTGATCCTTCTCAGTAAACATAGCCAAAACCTTAGCCACCTAGAAAGAAAACCACCCAATGAAAAAGTGGAGTCAATGGTGGTTACATAGATGCATTCATGTTCAAAATGTCATTGAGCTCGACACATACAATTACTGCACAAGTTTCATCTTTTGAGCCCTAACTCAAGTGCCTCTCTTTATGCCACAGACCCAATTACTCTGATTTTTACTGAAAAATAACTGAGTCTGTATCTATGACACAGTATCTCGCTTTGATCAAGTGTTTCCTAAGTGGCAAACATAAGCAAAAACACCTCATGTATTTCACTATTTTGAGGTCAGAGAACTTTAATTTTCTGTAGAATGCTGGGCAAAGGGTGTCTCTTTATCCTGTTTAGACATTCTGTCTTGAAACAAAGGAGTTCTGGCGGCACAGTGGTTAAGACTTTCAGCTGCTAACCAAAAGATCAACAGTTCAAATCTACCAGCTTCTCTGCAGGAGAAAGATGAGGCAGTCGGCTTCTGTAAGATGTATGGCCTTGGAAACCCAGTGAGGCAGTTCTACTCTGTCCTATAGGGTTGCTATAGTCAGAATCTACTCAATGGCAGTGGGTTTTCTGGTTTTTATTTTGGGGTGACAGGATATTTTCATTGTTTACTCGTTTGACTTCAAAGTTGAAAAGGTTTTTCCTGCTCTAGGAATGAATAGAGAACATGTTTGTTGGTTGGAGCCTTAGAGTTTACCATCCTTTGGAACTCTGAGTTGTAAGTGGTTTGTCCAGCCTACTTAGTGAAGGTCGTCTGATTCTACCTGCCCCCTGTGTGGGCAGCAAATTGACAAACATGTGTTTGAAAGGTTAATAGATACATCGGATCATGAATACAGTGCAGAACCAGGCAATGTTCTGTTCTTTGACACGTGGGGCCATCAAAGTGATGACCAGTTGGATTGGGGGACTTTGCTCCCAAGTGCAGATGGGTTTACAGGTAAGATGATTACATCCCTTGAGAAATCCCACTCAGCAAAGCCACTTCAGAGGTTTTATCTTAGCCTTGTTTTATAAGACCTGCCTATGGGGGTGGATTTTCTGGGAAATGATTCCAGTAGACTGTGAACATCTACCTGCTCAACAATTTAAAAACAATTTCTTAGATGTCCAGATGAAGAACATTCTTCTACTTGCCCCACCCCATTTTCTGACTCTTGATTTTTTCCCCCTCTGGTGTGATAATTCTGAACAATTTTCAGTTCTCTAAATTCTCACACACCTCCCTGTATACATTATGGTAATTTTAAAAAAAATTATTTTCATCTTACTGCAAAGATATTAATGTTTATCCTAGACAATCTGGAAATTGTGAAAACATTTTAACATGAAAACAAACACTACTGACAACCCCAAAGACCTGAGTAACAACTCTCCACATCTTAGTGTTTTATAGTCTGGTTTTCTTTTTATATAGGTTAGTCATAACTGAGATCACATAATATGAACAGGCTGATATAGAGCTTTAAAAACTGACATTATACTGTGATACTACTAGTATATGACTCATTCATAATTATATGCTACGTGTCTCTTTCCCTTAATAGTGTGACTGACTTTCAGAGATTGGGACAAAGTATTTTAATCTTTATGAGTCCAAAACACAATTGAGGAGTGCTGGTCAATGTTTTGAATGAGTGAATAATGGCTACTTGGATCATGCAGCTATGAGTTGAAATTGATTTGATGGTAGTGAATTTGTTTTGGTTTTAGTTTATTGTGAAGTAAGCATTGGAGGAGATCTGAGGGTAATCTGACATAGATTCTCATCTGTGGAGCTTACAAGACAGGCCTGCTCATAGACCTTTCCAGTATAAGGTGGATGGAGATAAACCCAAGGAGCTTTGGTAGACTTGTGCTTAAAGCACTGGGCTGCTAACCAAAAGTTTGGCAGAGCTCATTAGACACTGCGGGGGGGAAAAGATGAGGCAGTCTGCTTCTGTAAAGATAAACAGCCTTGGAAATCCTATGGGTCAGTTCTACTCTGCCCAATAAGGATGGTGTGAGTCATAATCAACTTGATAGCAGTGGGTTTTGTTTTTAGTTGAAGCTATACTGACAGGCAAGCTATAAGTTAAGTGTGATAGCATTTCACTCCTTTCTATAGTCTCAGACAGACTTGAAAGGACTTCTAGAATATTGTAAAAGGGCATACCTGGCCTAACTGAGAAGAAGGGATTCCCAGGGTTCTGTAGATCCTTCTGTAGTCTGTGTATAATTAAGAATTCCAGACTCCTTATAAGAGGCTTGCATGGAAAACACACTTGAGAACCTCTAGAGATTCTACTGACTTCATATTGGGACTCACTGGATCTTAAGAAGACCTTTGTGGGTAGAGATTATTTTCTAAATTTCTAGTCCCCCTCCCATGACCCCATTCATCAACTTTAGGCCTGAGAGGCTGGAGAAAGAAGGTGGATTCTTTCATCTTCTCTGGTCCTCTTTGGTTATCTTCTTACCCTGTATTCCATATGGCAGATGGGGAGCATGGCCAATTAGAATGGAATGATGAAGAAGAAACCCAGTGGTCTCTAAGCTTCATTCCTCCTTGTGTATCATTTTTTTAAAAAAAGGTGTTGAGTAGATTCCATCTCATGGAGACCTCATCTGATTGGAATAGAAATACTTCATGAGGTTTTCAATGACTATAACCTTTCAGATGTAGATCACCACGTCTTTCTTTTGAAGTACTTCTGGGTAGATTTGAACTGCCAAACATTTTGTTGGCAGGCAAGTACTTAACCATTTGCACCATCCATGAACTCCTCATGTATCATGTGCCTTGCTAATTAGTATCTGAATCCATAATTTGTGAAGTAAATTCCCCTACTTTTGTAGAAGAGTGACTCCTGACAAGATACTTGGAAGTTTTTTGGTCTGCTGAAAGATCATTTTAGTTATATCAAGAGAAAATGAACAAACAAACAAACTCTTTATCCATATGGGTCATGCTCATTTAGTAGGTAAGATTGTTTAAAGATTTTTAAAAATATTATATTAAATTATATACCAATTTTTATTCTGGTGATACATACAAGTTCTGGTAGCATAGTGCCTCCGGCACTTGACTGCTAACCAGAAGGCTGGCGGTTCAAGCCCACCAGCCACTCCTCGGAAGGAAGGAAGGTTGGGCAATCCTACTTCTGTAGTGATACTGCCTCGGAAACCCAAGGAGGGGTCGCTATGAGTCGGGGCCGACTCGACGGCAAATAACAACAACAACATACAAGTTGGCAAAAACAACCCAATAGCCTTTCTAAAAATTACCTCTTTTCATAATAGACTCAGTATACATATACAGGAAAAAAAAAATTAAGTTGCTCCACTGTATTACTTTATAGTTCTGCACATTATATGCTAAGCTAAGACAGACATTCTGTTCTCATTTCTCCAATTTGTAAGGGATGATTCTCAACTTAATGGGTTGTGAGTCAAGTCATTCAGGACTTCTGCTTTTTTGACTTATTTTCCTTCTCTTCCCACTTTCTGTTTGTAGCAGTGGAGCTAAGCTAGTAATCATGAAGGTCTGTCTAGGAGAAGACACACTGAGGGGGAGAAGACTTATTAACAACTCTGATGAAAGAAGTCTGGCGGAAAGTGAGATGGAAGCTATTGGGTGGAAAGAGATAATGGATTATTTGCAGATCTTATTCCATTAAGCTATTCCATATGGTCACGTCCAACATTAATTAAAAAATCGAGTATACTCTTTCTTCAGCGCAAGACCATTTTCCTACAAGAACAGCTGGCTGAGGGGCAGACTTACAAACTCTTTACAAAATACATTTCAATCAAAATCTTAGAAATATATATATATATACTTTTAAAGAAAGTCTAAAGCAATGGGTTAACTTCCTAACTGCATTGGCTCCATATCTCATATCTTATCCACAGACTGAGGTCAAAGTATCAGGAGCTGTACTAGCTAAATACAGATTCCTAACCTTAAAACATATCTAATCAGTGGTGTTTGGGAAAGATTTTTAGCTTTCTTCCTAGCGGTTGCTATTTTTGGCTGCTGTTGAGTCAGCCCCCAACTCATGTCAATCCCATGCAAACGTAAATGAAACAGTTTGCCACCCCACTGATTGGTGTAGATTGAACCTTTGGGATCCATTGGACTTTCATTGAGCAGCTCTGTTGGTGCAGTGCCTAAGGCACTTGACTGCTAACCAGAAAGCTGGCGGTTCATACCCACCAGCCACTCCTTGGAAGGAAGGTTGGGCAATCTACTTCCGTAGTGATACTGCCTCAGAAACCCAAGGAGGGGTCACTATGAGCCGGGTCCAACTCAATGGTACATAACAACAACAACAGTGTTTGAAAGTAGATTTCCAGACTTTTCTTCCTTTTCTTGTTATAGCTAATGTTTTCCTACATATTTTAAATGAACTTCTCTTCCTGTTCTCCCCCCTCCCACACCCCCCAGTGGCAAAAATCGGATGTTCGAAGTCATTGGGGAGACCTTGGAGCATGATTTCCCCAGCTGGATGGCAAAGATCTTGAGACAGCTTTCGAACCCTGGACTGGTCATTGCTATCATATTGGTGATGGTGTATGTGCCTCCTCTCCTCCTAGAAAGTGTCTTTGTAATGTTCTTCCTGGCTCCTTTTGTGTTTCAGCCTTTTCAGCTCCTACACTCTCCCCGAGGGCTATGCTGTAACCTAACCAATTCTAGCACTGATTACATGGTGGTGAGAGGCTGAAATTCATGAGCCGTATTCTGATCCTGTTGCATGTAATTCACAGCCATCTGCATCTGTCTTTGCCTCCCCAGGATTATAAGATTTGTTCCCAAGTAACCAAAATAATTATTAGTAAACAGTGAAAGCAAGGGAAACATAAATGCTAAATGCTAGATCTAATCAGCACAGGGAGCTTCCCTCTACAACCGACCCCCACCTCTAGTTTCATAAAGCAGATGGCTGTGAATACACAGAAATGATGAGCCTCTAAGTTAACATTCCCCTCGAGGACCCTAAAAGCTATATTTTAGGACTAAAAGCTGAGGGATCTTAAAACTCACCATCTTTATTCCTACCTTGTTCCGAAAGGACCGTCAATAACTGTGTGTACTCATGATTCATAGAATCTCAGGAACTAAAGGGTTTCAGAAAAGTTATTTGGTCAGTGCACCCTTTCAAAGTCAGAGGAGTACCCAGGGGACCTTGGGAGGAAGCTTTTGTTCTCATATGGCCATCACTGACTTGTGACTCTTGACAATCACAGATAAACTTGTATCTAAGTGAAAGTATGTGCTTGACGTGGAAGAGCTAAGAAAGTGCCCTAGCTTTTCTTTTTAATCCCCCAAAACCAAAAAAACTCCACTGCCATCGAATCACTTCTGGCCCAGAGTAAAACTGACCATAGGTCTTCCAGGGTTGTAAACCTTTACAGAGATAAACCACCTCATCGTACTGCTGCTGCTCGTCTGTCTGAATTGTGGGCCTTTTGGTTAGTAGCCAAATGCTTTAACTACTTCACCTTTGCTAAACAAAGTCTGTAACTGTCAGTGCTACCAGATGAGAAAGCAGGAATTAAACCATCCCCAGAAAGACTTTAGAAATGTTGTTGTTGTTGTTATGTGCCGTCAAGTCAGCCCCGACCCATGGCGACCCTTCCTTGGGTTTCCAAGGCAGTATCACTATGGAAGTAGATTGCCCCATCTTCCTTCTGAGCAGTGGCTGGTGGGTTTGAAACACCAGCCTTCTGGTTAGCAGTCAAGTGCCGTAGGCACTACGCCACCAGTGCTCCTTTAGAAATGATAGCTGATTAAAAAGAAAAGGAAAGAAAGGAATGGATTTGTTTAAATAAGGATAAAACTAGAGCTTCTCAGAGAGAAAATTCTCATTGATTGGAAGCCAGTGAGCTGGTGTTCTGAGCCCAATTATCATTAGCATCATTATAATTTTCATTATCATCATGAGCCATTTTAGGTATCAAGGGCAGATGTCAGCTTCTTCAATTTTATAAATTAAGAAACCGATTTCTAGGAGTGAAGTTGTTTTCCCTAGGTGAGTAAGGGAGTGAAATGGTAATAGAATGTAGTGCAGGTCCTTGAATTGTAAATCCACTGCTCACTCCTTCATACCATCCTGCCTTCCAGGAATGACAATAGTCCACAAGGATAATTAAGCAATAAAGCACAGTACTCTTATATATGTTACAGAATCTTGATCCCGGTTGGTGTTAAGAATACATAGTGAATCTTTAGTGCAGATGATTAGAAAATGACCGGTTTGATACAGTGTGGCCCCTGAAATGATTTCCTCTCTCCACATTTCTTTAAGAGAGTGACTTCTGAGAACATGTTAATGAATATCTTGATGGCCTTTAAGAGTTAAGGCCCTTTAGCAATATAATTGTCTCTGCGTGGTGCTTACAGGTTAATTTGCTTCACTGCCAATGGAGGTGGGTGGTTCAAGTCCACTTAGAAGCCTATGAAAGAAAGGCCTGGTGATGTACTTCCAACATTTTAGCCACTGAAAACTGGGTGCAGCCCAGTTCAACTCTCTAACACATGGAGTCTCCATGAGTTGCTATCAGTTTGATGGCTACATTTTTTTTAGTAATATAATTAAGGTCTTGTTTCTTGAAAAACAAACATATAACTTACAAAAGTTAAATATCAGATGTTATTACTGTGTTCTTAACTTCCTGACATAGATTTCTTTTCCAGCAAGGAACATCATTGTTCTAATGTCACTAAGGATTCAGTAAGCAGTCTCAGGAGAGTGAGAAAGGAACAAATGTTGATTTGTGGACTGCTGTTATTCCAGGCACCATCCATTCATTGAATCACTTAATCCCCACAGTGAGGTTGGCCCCAGTAATCATGTTACCACAGCACATGAAGCTCTGCGTAGTTAACACCTCCAACTTAAGTGGCCAATAAGTTAGATTCACATTCATGTCTTTGTATTTCCCACTTCTTATTCCTCCCCAATTTTTGCAGTACCAAAAACTGAATTCATGACAAGGGCTTAACGCCATTTGACAGGGATGGTGTAGAACCAGGTTTCGTATACTTTTTCTTAAAGGGCAAGACAGTAGATATTTTAGGTTTGTGGGCAAGAAGACAGAATTTAAGGTATTATATAAATACTTCCCTAACCCCTTTAAAATGTAAAAGCAATTCTTAGTTTGTGGGCTACACAAAACAATAGCTGGCTGGGTTTGTCCTGACAGACGTGGTTTCTGACCCTTAGCATATGTAAGTCTAGAGGAAAGTTAAACAATTGTTATCAAATCAGTTCCGACTCATGATGACCCTATGTGTGTAAGAGTAGAAGTGTGCTCCATAGGATTTCAATGGTTGACCTTTTGGAAGTAGACCACCAGGAATTTCTTCCAAGGCACCTGTGGGCGCACTCAACCTGTCAATCTTATAGTTAGTAGCCTAGCACTTTAACCATTTAAATCACCCAGGGACTAGACTAAGATGGACTTGGAAGATACCAGAGATGTACTTCTGAAAAACCAGCCAATGAAAACCCTACAAACCACAACAATCCGTCATGTAAGGGGTCATGAGGGTGACACAGGACTAGACAATGTTTTGTTCCATTGGACATGGGGTTGCCATGATTTGAGGGTGAATTCCACAGCAGCTCACAACAATAGCAAAGAGGGAAGTTGGTAACATGGAAAGGTCGAATACATCATCTCCAACACTGGTTTTCATTCAGAGGTTCTGATTTCAAACACAAACTTCAGTTGATCCTGATTTCAATTTTAGATTCCTAAGATCTTGTCTAAGGAGCCCTGGTGCACAGTGGTAAACGCTTAGCTGCTAATGAAAGGTCAGCGGTTTGAACCCAGTAGCTGTTTCCCAGGAGAAAAATGCAGCATTCTCCTTTGTAAAGATTACAGCCTTGGAAACTGTATGGAGCAGTTCTACTCTGCACTATAGGGTCACCATGAGTCAGAATCGACTGCACAGCAGTGAGTCTGTTGTTGTTGTTTTTTCTTTTTTTGAGGTTTCATCTTCTATTTTGTGTGCCCATGTAGTTGGCATGACTTGTTGTTTCCTTTAATTAGAAAATGTTACAAGAGTTGTAAATGTCCCCACTGGATCCATGTTTAATCAGCTTGGCTGGTTTCGGGTAACTGAGTACATAGAAAAGTTCATGTTCTCTCTCTGTAGGCAGTTACATTCCTTTGAGGACTACAAAATGATTTGTAAGGGATATCTAATCTAAGGTTCATTTCAGGGCAGGAAAAAAATGATGACTAAATAGTGTACCCTGGAACTGGAAGTTACTGGTAAACTCTTTAATTTCCTCCTCCAAATATAGTCAGTTTGCTAAGAAATCCTTATCACACACACAAATTTATTGAGCACCTACTTCATGGCAGATATTGCACCAGATGCTTTCATGTGTAAAATTTTATTCAAACTTCCATTACTCATATAAGAGATAAACAAGCCCTGCTGAACCATATCGATAATTGTGTTGCTCACACCAGATGGCTCATGAAGTATATGATTTTGCATGTTGGTGAGCAGAGGAAATGTGTTGAATATCCATTTATCTGCAACAAAGGATAATATCAGTTACCTTTTTCACTGCATTTTTTTTTCTTTGCTCATTTTGCTGTTGAGTGAGGAAGGGTTCATTTATTTTTAAAGAATTGTTTGACTAAAGTAACCTTGATTTGTTCTTTCTAGAAATGTAATTGTTATTAAAAAACATTTTTTTTAATGAAACATTTTCTTTTTGAGAGAAGGAGAAATGCAAATGATGCTAGTTATCATTGAGCTGATTCTGACCCGTGGAGACCCCATGCCCATGCATGTCAGAGTAGAACTGTGTTCTATTGATTTTTCCAATGGCTGATTTTTCAGAAGTAGATCAGCAGGCCTTTCTTCCAAGGTGCATCTGGGTGGACACGAACCTTTTGGTTAGCAGGCAAGCACATTAACTATTTGTAGCACTCAGAGATTCTCTCACGCAAATGAAAATATCATGAAAAACATCCATGTTAATTAACTATGAATAAGAAGAATTATCTTCTTAGTTCTCTAAGCTTCAGTAGATATTCCATTCTTGTGGATGCAATTGTCATTGATTTTTAATTATAAATTAAACGGATGTTAATACATATCCAAGCAGGTGCTGAAATTAGGGAGTGAAGTGTAGCGGACAGAGCACCTGGCTGAGGAGTAGGAGCCTTGGGCCCACCTTCCCAGCTCCATGCCTAGATGCTGTGCGATGCTGAGTGTGCCTCTTCTCTGGACATCTCTTTCCTTATCTGCAAAATAAGATGCTTGTAATAGAAAGTATCTTAAAATCCGCTCCAACGAACTAGGTAAATGCTAATTTGAAAGGAATCTTGAGGAACTAAAAAACCCTATATATGATGTTTTTGTTTTTAATTTAGTTTGACCATTTATTATCTCAACGCTACTGCCAAGGGCCAGAAAGCAGCAAATCTGGATCTAAAAAAGAAGATGAAAATGGTAGGATACAATTTACTTCTTAGGATTACTGTATTTGTTAATGGCAAGTGGTACAAAGGACTGTGAAATCTAATCCCCTTTTTCCCTCCTTTTTCCCTGAAGCAAGCTCTGGAGAACAAAATGCGGAACAAGAAAATGGCAGCTGCACGAGCAGGTTGGAAGTACCTTTGTGTTTGCAATTTTCTTCTACAATTAGCGTGTCCTTTGTATTTTTTCCTTATAAATGGGGCATTTGATGTGGAATGTCTTAGTGCTCTGAACCGTTCCCCAACCTTTACTGTTCACCTTTTTAGCCATTCTCAGGGATCACACCTAGGGAGTTTGGAGTTTTCTAGTGGGAGAAAGGAAGAAGAAAGAACACTTGAGGTGTGGTAAAGTTAGCAAGAGTGAATAGAAAAAAAAAAAAAAAAAAAGAAAGTTACTTTGAAAATTGAATAAAATTAAGAAAATATCTATGCAATCACATACAAGTGGCAGATACTAGTGCAGACTCTCTCCTGCTGTTTTACCTATTTTCCACACACAGAAAGATACACTGGAAAGATCCCAAGAGAGTTTCCTGAGCTCAATACCACTGATTTCTAGAAGCCACTGATAATACTTTGACTTTTTTTTTTTTTTTTTTAATATCTCCTTAGTATGTATAGTATTAGAAAGGCATGCTCTTACTTGCCAGCCAATGGTATGCTGCTTCAAGATTCTACATAGAAAAGTGATACCTAAGAGCTTCAGTGAAAACCATTTTTATCCAGTGTCTTGTTTCCAACTTTTCCTTCATTCCTAACTTTAAAACTCTTTGTGTTATTATTAGTAAAGTAAAACCTGCGAAAGCCAGTATCTGTGTAAGGCGGAACCCTGTCAGAGAAGGAAAACTCAAATAATTTCCACTCAATAGAGATCGATAGAAAAATGATGACTGCACCCCATCAAAGGTGAAAAACTTTCGAGACCCAGAAAAGCAAGGCAGTCCCGTCGAGTTCCGGTTCTCATTGGTTTCACTGTTTTTTGTTTTGTTTCCTACAAGTAATAGAAAATTCAACCCATACGGGGTTTAAAAAAAAGTTAAGCCTGCACTGCATTTGTGTGTGTGTGTGTGCATTTTGTGTGTACGTCCACACACACACACACAAAGTTAAAAAAAAAGAAAAAGATTTTCTCAGTCTATACAGCCCAACAGAGAAATGGTATATATGGTTTCAGGCTCTGCTGTTTCCAGGTTTAGAATGTGACCAGGACCGAGCCCCTTTGTTCTACGATTCTTTATCTCAGCACTCTCATGATGGCTCATCTGATGGCAGCAGGAAGTCTGCAACAACTTTCCATGCCGAGTAGTTATACTCTCAACATACAGACAGACTTGGTTTGTATCCATTTCATCTACTTGGAGAAATTTTTCCCAGAAGCTTCTGAACTTCTGCCTTAACTGACATCCTTAGCATCCTTTCTCTTTGCTATCATCTCTCATCACTGTATCCTGTTTTGGATCCTATTTCCTTTTTCCATAACTTCTTAGTTCTTAGATTGCTTACATGTTTTGGTGAATGAATTCCATGAGAGGCAAATTTGTACATTTTATATGTCTGAAGCTTTTCTTTTACCCTCCTCTTTAAGTTTTGATGGGTATAAAAACTACTTAGTTAGATTGAAAATAATACTTCTTTAGAATTTTGAAGATACTTTCCTAATGTCTTCTATTCTATGACTGCTATTGGAGAGTCTAAAGCCATTCTGACTTCTAATCCTTCTTATACGACTTCCATTTTTATTTGTTTTGCCTGTCTGGAAAGCTGTAAGATCTACTTGTTATCTCCAACATTTTGGAATTCCATAATGATGTATCTTGAAGTAAATTTATTTTTATTCTATGTGCTCATCAATGGGATCCATTCACTCTGGAGACTATTACTATTCAGCTATAGGAAAATTTCTTGAATTATTTCTTGATCTCTTCCCTTTCATTTTCTGTTTTCTCCTTCTGGAATTCCTGTTTGTTTATCAGATTTCTTGGACTGGTTCTTTAATAATCTTACTTTTTTTTATGCACCTCATTTTTATCTTTTTGCTTTACTCATGAATAAGTCTTTCACATAAATTTTTTAATACTTTCTTTTGATCTTTTCAATTCTGCTATAATTTTAATTTTAAAAAAGCTGTTTGCGCTCCAATTATCCTTTTTTAAAATAGCATTCTGTTTTGTTAAATGAGTATAATAATTTTTTTTCATGAGAATTTTAATAAATCTTTTTGCATGTTTCTTTCCCTTTCATAGTCTTTATTTCATTCAAGCTTCTTTGTCCATTTTATTGCCTTATTGGTCTCTCTTTCATATTAGAGACTTACTGCAGGTGCCTTTTCATTCTTTGCTGTCCGCCTATATTTAATGGTGGAACAGGAAGGATTTGTTATGTGAATTTTACTGCAGGGCTCTGCCTGGACTGTCTGATGAACCCCATGTCAATATCTTTAGACTTTTCCTATCGGGCTGATGAGATTCCCTCAGAAAAGCCGCTTCCAAACTTCTGCCTGGAAAGTGAAGGCTAATCTGGCTGTATTCTAGTACCTGAGTAAGAAACAGGACATAGTGTATTGACTTTTAACTTATAAATGTTTACTTACACCTCCTGTTCTCCTTGTAGTACTTCTAGCCCACAGGCATTCCTATTTTGCTCTCTCTGGAGGAAATTCCTCCAGTCTTCTACCAGGTCAGGAGAAAGGGGACTAAGCCATTTTTTGCCAAGTGAAAGAGTAGACCTGTGGTTCTAACGACCTTTTAAACAGAAATCCAAACCATCCTTTAGTTTGGGTTCCCTAATTTGAGATGAATCTGTTGTTTCCAATTACTGAGCCTTTTGGAAATTTTCAGCGTAAATTATGTTGCTTCCCATTTTTTCCTTCTGCTGGCTTGGAATTCTAATTTGTCAGAACTGATAGATCATTTACCAATCCATCTGCTTTTCAGCTTCTAAAATTGCATCACTGCTGTCTTTCTCCTGTTCTTCCCACCATTATAGTTTCATACCTAAAAGATTCCTTTACTGCCATGTTTGAGAGAGACCAAAAGTGCAATTTCATGTAATGCCACAGCATAGGTAACACTTCACATATCCTACACGAAGAGTACCAATGGTTGTATCTACATCTTGACCTTATTCATTCTATGGTGATTATCTGAGTTATTGTGTTAAGCTAGAGTCTTGAATTAATTCTCCCTACTCGATGGCTGGTGGCATAGTGCCTAAGGCATTTGACTGCTAACCAGAAGACTGGCAGTTCAAACCTACCAGCCACTCCTCAGAAGGAAGGTTGGGCAATCTACTTCCGTAGTGATACCGCCTCAGAAACCCAAGGAGGGATCGCTATGAGTCAGATCTGACTCCACGGCGGTGCGCTGTGTTGCGTTGCATTGCATTGCATTGCATTGTATTGCGTACTTGATGGCAGTGAGCTTGTTTTGTTTTTTTTTTTTTGGTTAGCAAGAATTGATTAGTATTGTCTACTCTTTGCAAAGATTAGGTAACAGAAGCATGTATATCACACATATATAGCAGAACTTTTGTATATCATTGAGATGTGGTTCAATGTGGCTATAAATCAACATTGCTGAATTAGTGTGAAGAATGGTTAATCAAAAGTTCTTACTGTGAGCACCTGAATTCTAGTTAAGCCATATTTCTTATTTAAATATTGATATAATGTTACAGCATGCTATTTTTCCAGCAGTTTCCTATAATTTCTACTTAAAGATATTTACAACCTCTGTTAGTTATTTCCTCAGAAACGTAATTCAGAACTTGACATATAACAGTCATTCAGTAAATATCTATTGAACGTCTACACAACAATGAAAAACTATTTTATTGGAAAAATTTTAAAGGAACATATATCAATGCCATAAACAGCAGTGGATACATGTTATAAACAGCAGAGTTTCCATTCTATGCTTTTAAAATTTATATGAGGTGTTTGTAAAATAAGATATATACAAATATTTTAAATCTTAAATTGCTAAACATTAAGCCAAAGTGTAGAGCATCTGGAAGATGCAGAGTTGAGGCCATTTCATTCAGAACTGTTAGCCACACTAAAAGCTAAGTTTCTTTTTCTTCTTCATATTCTTTGTTTCTGTTCTCTCTTTTTGTTTTTGGAACAGCAGCAGTTGCTGGTGGCCAGTGAGTGTCACAGATATGCCTGGGGCCCAGAAGTCCTCCTCCTGTCTCACTGCGCTGTTTATGGGTAATGAGTATGCCAAGGTCCAGTGAACACACATGTTGGAGTTTCTTTTCCCTATTCTACCCCTGATGGATTATGAAGTTCATGCTGGTCAATGAAGGCATCACCAATCCTAGTTTGACAAGAAGGAACTCTGGGTTATTCTGCAAAAGAACTCGTTCCTGTGCTGTCACTTTCTCCCGTGACCCATTGCCCTGACATTTTCCCTAAGAAATTGAGTTTAAAGGCAGATGTGATTAATTTAATGTGTTCGGGTTAGTTTAAAAACATTTTTTTCTCATATAGACTTCTATTTTACACATTTCTACTGCCTTAGTTTTTCTTGGACTGGAATATATCATACTTTTTTTTTTTCCCCTTTAAATTCAGAAATATCTTGATAAAAAAGCACTCATTGTAATTATTCATTAACTTACTATTTGAAACAAACCACTCTTTACTTCCTTTTATCTATCTATTCCCCCACCTGCAATCTGTACAAGTATACACCCAAGACCTTTTTACTTGATGCTGGATTAGGTATGAACATGAATGACTTTTCAGAGGAAAAATTCTAAATGAATTAGCAACTTGATTGGGTTGAAGGGCTCTCACTTTGAGGAGGCACACAAATCTAAGACAAACTATTTAGGAGTTAATAACTGACTCAGTGGCAGTGAGTAACAACAACAACAGCAACAACAACAAAAGAAACTCACTGCCATTGAGTCAGATCCGATTCATAGCTACCTCTCTTTGGATTTCCCAGGTGATATCTCTACTGAAATAGATTGCCGGATATTCCTTCCAAGGAGGGCTGGTGGGTTTGAACCACCAGCCTTCTGGTTAGCAGTCAAATGTCTTAGGCACTATGCCACCAGAGCTAACAATAATAACAAAAAGACAACATTTGTGACTGCTGCTCTGTCAGTCTGCTCACTTGGCCTCCAATGATTTTATCTTCTGAGTTTAGATTCTAATATTCTATTTTTCTTTGCTTTGTTGTAAGATTAGGAAAACAAACACTTTTAGTTGGGGCTTCAGTTAATAGAAGTGTTTAAGTATTATTATTTATTTGAAGTTTCAGTTGACTTTGAATAATAACACTCAGTGGCTTCAGCTGGCCTTGTGTGACTTCAATGGCATCTCCTAATTCATGCTCTCTT